TAGGTGATCTTAACATGTCTTCACACGTTGAAGGACAGAAACGCAGATGGGATCGTGTTTCCGAATATTTTCACATACGGAATTTGATACGATTTCGAATGTTCCCCAATTAATTAACATTGCTGTCAATCAAATTTCGTGTACGAAATGTACTCGAATGAATCCGAAAATACGACCCCAGCATCATTTCCTGAAGTTGTGATTTGACACAAAGCTGATATGCGTCTTCAGATTGATGGTTGAAAATGACACGACGCCATTCAGCGTTTGTATCTACCATACAATTTAATGTGAATCCAATCGCCACTGTCATACGTTCGAATATCAGTGCCGTAGTTTCACACATCTGAAATATATTTACATTCCCAGTCCTCCCCACTTTCCTTCACAAATAGAAACAGAACGCCGTCCAGCATCTGCATAAATTGGTACTTATCTTACAGAAATGTTCAATGTCCTTCAACGTGTTAAGAGTGGATATGATGAATGAATAAATCAAAAATCTAATACAACAACATATTCTGTGTGAAAACTACTAGTTAGGGAGACGACCGCATTTTTCCTACCCCGATCGAGTTATGTGTCGACACTATTATCAATATATAGTATTATGTGCATCTAGTAACCAGTATTCCTGCCTGAGAGCAAATGCTGCCGGAAATATCTTTTAACAAATTATTAATAAATTGAGAAAAACGTAACACTACCCCCATCGAGTTATGCCCTAAGTAGGGTATCAGATTGAATGTCTCGATGTCCCCTATCTAAAAAGTCGATCCTGCCTCGCGAGAACTTGCCGGAAAAGGGTGGCAGGGCAGCTTATTGGGGCAAGGGCCCGCGGTCTCAGCTTTGACACCTATCAAGTTTTGCGCTGAATGATGTGTCAAATTAAAGGTGTCAGTAAGTTGATTTTAGGTCTCTTCGCACAGAAATCCCAAACCAGAAGGAGTGAATTTCATTGTTTGAAACTAGTTTCCTGACTGTTTCCAACCAATGAAATTCGCTCTGACTGGTTTGTGATTTCTGTGCGAAGAGACCTTAAATCAACTTACTGACACCTTTAATTTGACGCATCATTCAGCGCAAAACTTAATAGGTGTCAAAGCAGAGACCGCGGGCCCTTGCCCCAATAAGCTGTCCTGCCACCCTTTTCCGGCAAGTTCTCACGAGGCACGGATCGACTTTTTAGATAGGGGACATCGAGACCTTCAATCTGATACCCTACTTAGGACATAACTCGATGGGGGTAGTGTTACGTTTTTTTCAATTTGTTAATAATTTGTTAAAAGATATTTCCGGCAGCATTTGCTCTCAGGCAGGAATACAGGTTAATAGATGCACATAATACTATATATTGATAGTAGTGTCGACACATAACTCGATCGGGGTAGGAAAAATGCTGTCGTCTCCCAGACTATACAGTTCATTACAACTCAATGAACTATATAGGTACTACTAACTACACCTACCTGGAATGGTCGCGCCGATCTATAAAATTGAGGCAAATTGAGATGCAGAATGTGGGAAATAGGTACTTATCTTTAAGAAAAAGACAAAAATATAATATCTGACAACGGTCGGATCGATTCCAGTTACGTGTAGTACCTATATAAAGTTCGTTTTTTTTTTAAAGATAATTCCCCAAGTCAGAAATTCAGTAACTATGTTGGCAATACAAGCCTTTTCTACATAAAAAATTTGAAAGCTTGACAATTTTACATTGTATTGCCAACATAATGTCAGTTTGACTTTTATCTTTAAAAAAAACACACTTTATGTAGTTCATTGTGTCAACTAGCGTTGACCACCAACAAAAAGTCACAAGAAATGATTCGAGAAAAATATTAGGATACAACTTATCACACAACTCTTTGCGCTAACATCGACCAGTAAATTCATCAATATTTAAATAAAGTATATTATTCAACGAGCGGGTAATGATGGCCATCACTCATAGATCAAGGATCAGGTTTGCACTACGAGCCGCAGGCGAGTAATTTATTCAATCATTCAAATGTGTAGGTACTTACCTAATTAGGTATACTTTTACTCGCGAATAGAATACTAGGTATACTTTTTCTATGATTATTAAATTAAATACCTAATAGAAACGAGTTATGCAATATTTTATTTCATTTCCGCTACGAAATCCTTTCGACAGCTGGAGAACAAAGTGAGGTTAGGTTCAACCTTGAGTGATAACATAAGATATTTTCACTGGTTTGATAATACTTGAGTAATGCCCGTATTACATCTGTGTATTTCTCCATGTATTTATTCATGTAGTTCAAGGTGACAACCGAAAAACTTCAAACGCAACATAAATCAGCATTATGAAAAACAAAATAATGTAGTCATCCTGAACTACATGAATAAATACACGGAAAAATACACAGGTCTAATACGGGCATAATACTAATTACTCACAATAATCAATAGAAAGTAAATGTGAATCACGCATATTATTGAATATTCAGAGAAAAAAAAAGATCACATGGTTATCCATCAACACAAAAGACATTTTCTAGATGTTTGTTGTCAAACTTATCAACAGAAAGCAATTTTGAGTAGGGAACCATAATACGGATATGACCATGATAAAAATTGAGACGCGCTAATTATTGATTCCTTTATTCTATGGAATGCATTTTGCCACATATGCAGTGATATCCTTGCGCATTCCTGTCCAATAATATCCAGGAACAATTTTCAGGAGAGTTCATCCTACCCCATAATGTCCTGCGAGTGTGGAATCGTGGGTTTCTTTCATCGCTTTCTCAACTGAACATTTTGGTACCACCTGTTGGGCTTTTACTCCATCAAGATCAGGAGAATATCGATTTAAAAGTCCATTCATCATTACATAACCTCTATCACTTCACCTTCGAATTTCGACAACACAAGTCTCTGGAGTTTCGAAACATTTGATTATAGATGCTATGTCAGGAACAGACAATTGTTGTTCTCGTATTTCTTTAAGGTCATCGGTGGGCAAGTTAACAGTCGCAAAAATCAGCGTGGCCACTATCGTGACAAATTGGGCGAGATAGTGTATCTGCTAAAACATTTTGTTTTCCTGGAACGTACTCAATTTGTAGATGGTAGATGGTAGATGGACGTATGGTTGTAATGACAGCGCCCCTCTAACAAATCTTCCTGATGGAGATTTCAACGTTATTAGCCAACGTAGAGGTTGCTGGTCACTCTTTACAATGACTGCAGAGGTTCCTATGTATCGTAAGGTAGTTCTCTTCGGCATCATTCAATAAACAGCTGGCATATTCAATTGTCCTTTTCTCTGGACCCTCCCCCTGGAGTAAATCTGCACCAAGGGCATATGAACTAGCATCCGTTCTGAATGGTTTTGTAGGGTCAGCCTGTTGTAAAATGGGTGCGCTGGTTTAAAAACACTTTAGATCATTAAACGTTTTTTTTTTTAGTAGTTCAATGACAGGTCGATTTCTTCCGAAGCTATATCCTTAAAGTTTCGGACAAATCTTCGAAACCCGGAGCAGGTTTGTAAGAAACTCAGAACTTGTTTCACATTGTTAGGAGCAGGCATGCTTACAATTGCAGCTATCTTGCTTGGACAAGGACTGAATCCGTCTTGGCTGATCATATGACCAAGATATTTTACCTCATTGGTGCAAAAAACATATTTCCCACGATTACCATGTAATTTGATTAATTTGAGCCTCTTGAAAACCTCATCTAGGCCTTTTAGGTGGTTTTCAAAGGTGGATGACATAATTATTATCAAGTCATCTAAATAAGCCAACATACTTATATGTGGTAACCCTGAGCGAAATCTTTCAACGAGCCTTTGAAAGGTTGCGGGTGCTGTTCTCAATCCAAAAGGCATAGCATTGTATCAAAAAGTACCGAAAGGAGTAATAAGAAAAGTCTTATCTCGGTCTTCCTACTTCACTGATGGTATCTGATGGTAACCACTTTTCAAGTCAAGAGCTGTAATGTTGGCAGTTTAGCAGTCGAATGAAGTAAATCATTTACTCTAGGTAATGGGTATTGTATTGGAACAATATCAACACGCAGGCGCATGTTTCCATCAGATTTTGGAACAAAAACAACTGGAAAACCATAGGGCGAACCACATTCCTTAATGATCCCAACTTCAAGGAATTCATCGAGTAACTTTTTCAAAATATCCTTTTGTGCAGGTGCAATACTATATGGTGGTTGAAAAATAGGATTATCATTAGTCAACTGAATGGTATGTTCAGCGTATGTTGTCAGTTCCTTGACCTTTTCAAATACTGATGCATGCGATTGTAGCAAATCTTCCCATCAGTATCTGTAAGTTGAAATGCTGCCTGAGACACTGCAGAACAACCCCATGCTCCAATGCTGCCAAATTTGGAACGGTTCTGGGATTGCGTCCCTGTTCCAATATATGTACTAATTCTGAACCGATTCGGAACCAAGAAAACCAAAACAAGCCGCAAATCACAAAATTACAAAACAGTTCCTCCTTCAGAGCAAGAACTGAGAGAACCGTTCAAGAACATTCCCAGAATTGTTCTTTTACTTATAAACCACACCGTTGTCAACCAATGATCATAAAAAAACGAAAACGCGTTTTATAACATGCGCATGTGCAGAATGATACCGAACTAGTTCTGAGTTAAACCAAAACAAAGCTTTTATATATTATGCTTAATTGTCTCGCTCAAACAAATGTTCTATAATAGATACATCCTTCGTCGATAACTAAGTTCCTTCCCGGTGGTTTCAGAGTTTCACGTATAAGAACCAAAAAAAGTTCTTTCTGATGCTATTGACCGTGTCACTGCCAAGCCACCACAACTCCAGTTCTTGATAAGACGATCACAGTAACTTGGACAGTGTCTGAGCCTGGTCTAAACACTTTATTCTTATTTTTTTCCTTCTTTATTTACACCGTTGCTCACAAATAATTTCTGGCCTTCTCTGTAACTTACTTATTGGAAGTTTTTTTTTTTTAATGTTTTGTCTTCTTTCAGGTGTGTCCCATCTGAGTTCGCTCGAAGACGAAGATCCGCTCGAAGACGACGAAATCGAAGTGGACGTGGAAGAATGTTCCGATTTAGAATCGACCATCAACCGGCCGCCCAAAACTAAAACCAGGCGTCATTCGCCGTCCGTGTCGGATTGCGGTTCCGAACCCGCCGATCTCGATCGCGACAGTCCGGACACTATTCCCGAAAAAGCACCGTCACCGCCGAAAAAACCGAAAATTCTTTGTAACTGTGAGGAACTGTTAAATGTCGAATGTCATTTGGAAACCAAAGACTTGTGGGATAAGTTTCACGATTTGGGAACGGAGATGATTATTACTAAAACTGGCCGGTAAGTGAATATTACATCCAATTAGGTTGTTTTGCGCAATAAACTCTTTCGCTTAAAAGGAAATTAATATTCTTGTTTGGCAAAATTGCTGCACTTAACAAAATTTATGTTAATTATACGTTGTTTATGTTAAACACAAATCCGTATGTAAATTTACATTAGGTAGGTACCTAAATAAAAGCGTTTCATTTCTTTTACGCTACAAAGGTAAATTAATTTTGAGTAATGCAATAATCGAAAAAAGCAAAACAGTCAAAATATTTCCTCAATCAGATTCCAGTACCTACCTGGTGAGTAGCTACCTACTGTGTTGACAATAATCAATTTTGGGCGGTAGCTTCGTAAACTCCGCCTTGCTCTGAACCCCTTAATGATTTTGGGCCTGAACAAATCAGAATTATACCTACAATAAAATAGTTATCATTCCCAGCCTGGAATTCACTTCAATAAATAAATTTGATGTAGCTTTCGGAAAGTAGGTCTATAATATATTAACTAAAATTTAGGGTAATAGCCCTACGAAAGGTAGGAAAGGCGTCTTCATCATTCAAAAATACTACCTCGCAACAGCCCTAAAACGGAAAGTAAATGTTCAGATATTAATCTTTTGTCAGCGTTTATTATAATAGAACGCCGAAACCCATTAGTGTAAATCAAGCCTCTAGCTTTTACCTAATTAAACCTTTAAATAATTTATTTACGCACAGAGAGATGACAATAATTTGCCCATATAGGTCTATGATAATGGTATTCCGGCCTAGATTAATGGACTATATCCACTCGGAATAACGAAAATTAACAGCTCGGGTAATTATTTATGGAAAGTTCAATCCATTTTACTTTTACGTTCGCCGCGGGTGAACGACATTATTTTAATGGAATTGATGTGTGTGTTTTGTTTGCGAGGTTAAATCATTTACCCAGCTTTAATCCAATTATTTGTCATTTTCTCATGAACATAAATCATTTTTATTACACTAATAAACGTTTGCCGGTTAATACTGATTCATTAATTAGATATAGAACATAAATCAGCTGAAATCATTTTGATGTTTAGTGGACAAACACACACTATTTGAATTAGAAAAGTGGAAAATATTGTCAACTGCTGGGTCCTGCGCCGAGGGCTGCTATCCCGACTCTCGAGCGGCGTTGCCAGCTCAAGTACTCTATGCCACATCCTCCCTTTTCACCAAGTGAGTGTCTTTTTAACTTAGCACTCGAATCGAATTCAACGCGACTAGCCTTAAACCATTGTTTGTGCTATTTACACTGGGTATATTAATGTTATGGATAAAACTACACAGTAATTCACTATATACACTGTACAATGTTTATTCTCACTTTTGTTTTAACTAATCCTCACCACACATTCCATTGCCGGCTTGACTAGTCATCCTGATCTGGTGGTGTATCTCTGGTGAGTGGAGTTATAGACTTCGGTCTTCTCCTCTCCAACTGGATTTCTGTTTAATGTATACACATGAGCCCACTTTGTTCCGGGCCGATATTCTATATTGAAATTAAATTCCTGTGCTATCAACCACTAGCGAGCAATTCTAGGTATCAGGTCACGCTTCGTCATAGAAGTTTGTAGTGAATTGCAGTCAGTCACCACTTTAAACTCAATACTACACCCTGAATCTCTGAAGACAGCATATAACCGCCATCGTTTCTAGTTCATATGAATGGTAACTCTGTTCCTGTTTTGTTATTTGTCTACTATAGAACATAACCTGTTTCAAATTTCTATCTTCTTGCCATTGCAGCAAAATACCTCCAAGGCCTCGACTTGAAGCATCTGTATGGAGTTCAGTCTGTAACTGTGGGTTGTAAACAGCAAGAATAGGTCGTTTTGTTAAATGGTCTTTGAGAAGTTGGAAAGATTGTTATTGTTCTGCGTCCCATGTAAAAGCCTCATTTTTCCACATTGTTATAATGGGCGAGCTATTTGGGCAAAGTTTTTCACATATTTCCTAAAATAGCTTGCGTGTCCTATAAATAGGCGTACTTCATGGACATTTCTCTGACCCAGGACGAATTCACTCTGAGTATTTCATGTCCCAAATAATCAACTGACATTTATTCAACTTGAATATTCCTCCAAAAATTATGAATGCTTCAAAGATTTTTTTTAATGCTTCTAAGCCAGAATTAAAATTGAAACTTGGCAGGAGAATGTCATCAAGTTAAATGATTAACAGTTCCTAGAATCTGGTTAACCGTTCTTTGGAAAACGGCGGGAGCATTCACCAATCCGAATGGCATACGCAAATATTCGTACTGCCAATCTAAAGTAACGAATGCTGCTAAGATATTATGGAGTGGTTGGAGTCGTAGTCACTTTCGGAGTTATTGCCTTCAATTTCTGGTCCACTACTTTGTGATACGGCTGAACCCTATTCTGTGTTCGTATCATCCCCTCCATCGTCACCCTCTGATGCTGAGCTCGACTCATTATTGCAACTTTCGGGGAGTTCCCATTTGGACACCTCTAGAATATCTGTCCCTTGTTCTAGTCTTATCATCATTTCTGAGGTTACTTCTATAACCTTGGCTTCTGTTTCGCCTGATGACGTTATTTTCTGCGGCGATAATGTATGTTCTAGGTTCAGGTCCAACATCCATTACTATCCCAAACATTTTCATATCGGGTATCCAAACTTTCGTCATTTTTCAAGGTAGAATCCGATCTTGCTTTATATGTCGCTTATTAAAATTCAATGTTTGAACTTCTTTTTCGTTGCTTCTGACTTCCTTGAAGTCGTTTATGTATAGTTCCACTTAGGGATAAATCTGTCTTTGTTAGCTTCTGATGATCATGATCAGTTCTGCTGGTGGAAATTCACGCTTTAGTTTTGCTGTTCTATAACTTAAAAGTCCTAAGTTTGGGTCTTTGCATTTTAGAATTATATTCTTGGCTATCTTTACAGCGGATTCCGCCTGCCCATTTGATTGAGGATACCTAGAACTGCTTGTGATGTGACTGAATCCATATGTCTGAGCAAATTGTTTGAATATGTGGCTAGAAAAACAAGGCCCATTATCTGATCTAATCAGGTCACGATTAAATCAACTCCAACGATCTGGCACAGGGGAAGGAATCATTGGTTCAATTGTTGTATTCCTGTATTGAATGAATGTTAAGTAATTGGTTACAATTTCTTTTATTTGTTTTGAGATTTTGGGCCACTACCCATTTCATTGGCTAGGCTTAAACATTTCGTTATACCCAAATGAACCTCGTGTATTTTGTCCAATATTTCCTTGCGTAATGTCGTCGGAATGAATACTCTGTTGTTGCGGATTACTAAGCTATCCAATATAACCATCTCTCCTTGATATTGGTAGAAAATTTTATCTTTGGTTGGTAAATTCTTAATGTGTGGCCAACCATTTTGTATATAAGTTATTATTCTTTTGGTTTGAACATCATTCTTCTGACATTCCAAGATACTTTTTATGCGCATGTCATTGATAGGCATTGATTCACGAATATGATTTGCAAAATCTTCCACTTTTTCTATGAGCTCGTTGACGAATAAAATATCTGCTCCATGATCACTGAATTTTAGTGAAGCTCTGGATAATACGTCAGGCATTATCAAGTTTCTGCCAGGAATATACTGTACATCATACGAAAATCGCATCAATCTCATTCGGAATCTTTGGATCCTTTCTGATAGATCAGCTAATTGTTTGCTTCCTAGAAGTTCCACTAGGGGATTGTGGTCAGTCAGGAACATGAAGTGTCGATAGGTCACTAATCGAATGAAAGTGTACTATTTTTATCGGTACTTTCCACCCGAAATACGAGAAAAAAAAACCGCTGTCACCATGTAGCAGCCTGTGGTACGCTTACCTGATATCATATGTTGGGCCCTGCCCAGTGGGCTGCTATTCCGACACTCGAGCGGCGTTGCCGGCTCAAGTACTCTATGCTACACCTACTAGATACATAGGGAGTAATAGGACGAATTAGCTTGTACCCTGTTTCAGCAAATCGAGGCGGTGCTGCCGAATATGCACGAAGTTTCAACATGCAACTCGACATGTAGTGATATGGGTGGTGTCAGAGTATCAGCCAACTGGTCCCATTACAGCCCATGTCTAGTAGCCTGGCCCTGTCTGTATATGTCGTCTTGGCGTAATGGATAAACTGAGTGTGTTCAGTTTGTACAGTTGTTAAAGAGAAATTAAGATATTTTGAGATCTCGAGAAGATGCAAGCTTGAGTTGTTCCTGAAAATAAAACTCACCCCAGCTTCAATCGAAAGGAAACGATTCAAAATTCAATGAGGATATTCTAGAAGTTTAAAGTGTATGTTTTGCGAGGATCCAAAGTCAAAGTTAAGAGTGAAAAAATTAGGTACCTACCCACCAAACGAGATATGTTCTGATAAGTACGTTGTGGTAACGTTATCGGGCAACTTACATCTGTGCCACACAATACAGTGACGTGTAATGTCGCTAGAACACTACCAATCGACTTTGATCACAGCTGAAGGGTTATAGATGAAGTTCGATAATAATAAGCTCAATGCCATATTTCGGTCATAAATAGTCGCAAATTTTTTATTTGGGTTCTAAGGAGTTCTAGATAGAAACTTTGGTAACCTGAATCCACTTTCTTTCTTCCTATGGAGAGGAAAAAATACTGTAACAGGTAATAGGAATAACCTGCCAATACAAAACATGATGATCAAAGATGATTCACAGGGGAAGTTTATGCGATCTATGAGTAGATTTTACAGTTGAGTAGCAGAAAAGCGAACACTCTTCGTGAGAACAAAGTTTCCACAGAACTCCGTAAGTCAAGCAAGGCTTCCAAAGCATATTTCTTTAAAAAATTAGGCTCCCCCTGAAAGATTCTTAAGTAAAACGTGTTGGAAAACTTTATTTTTACTTATTTATTTATTTTTTTCGATCTGCAAGAAGAGGGGGTTGAATGTCAGCAAAATTCGAGATATAAGGGGTGGAAGAGAAACCGGAAAGGAAAGC